TTTGCCACGTTGGGATAGTCAGCAATCTTTGAAAGCTGTTCAGTATGGCTGTCTTACAGATGCATTTTTTTTTTAGACTGCTTAGATATCATGATACTGCTTCTGATATGGACAGTTGTAGGAAATTTGGTTTATCTTGGCTATCTGTTCTGCTTTCAAAATTAAAATAACATAATTCATCCACGTTCAGGAGCTTAGAAAGACTCGTTATGTGTAGGACACTAGTAAACTAGCAAAACCACAACCAGAATACCTTGATATTCTGGAACATGACATGGGTACGTAGATAGCAGTGTCCTCTCTGGTGGCTGAGAGCTCAGTAGGGTGCCTCGATGACCCTTTTAAAACTATTATTTACATGACAAAGTTGAAATGCTGCAATGTAGTTTTAAACGGTTGCGGAACAGTTTTGCCCCAGACAATGGAGCAGTCACCATCTGTGACGCTGGCCATCTCTTTGGTTAAAAGTCTGTCTGTGGTCTATTAAACTCCAGTTGGATTGTCAGGGCAAGCAATTACCAAATATTTATCAGCCTAGTGTTATTGCCTGCTGATAACCCAAAAGCTTGTTTAAAAGCTTAATTCATGTCTTTTATAGTTAAAAATGACAATTTCAGTGAAGTTTGGCAGGCTTCTAGGTCATTCAAAATTTATCATCTAGAGCAGGATTAACTAACACAGACTTATGATTAGACGTTCTTGTGCCTTTAGTCAGGAGTTGAGCTGATTACTTTGAGCCTGTTTATTATTTAAGGAATCCTTTGAATATTAGGCTGTTGAAATAATAAATGGATTGCTTTTGTTCAGCCTTAGTATCTGAAGATACATGGGGACTGTGAGCAGAGTCCCATCAAAGCAATGCACTGTATTGTTTGGAGGATGTTGTATCCAAATAGTCACTTAGAGTTATTGCTCACAAGTAGTATGTCTTAAGAGCAAAGAAGTGAATGTGTTCCCAGTGAGTCCTGGTGTACATAGGTGCAGGTTTCTGGGCCATCAGTAAGATTTGATTCTACCACCGTTTGCCTTGGCAGAGCCACAGTGAAGTTGTGGCAAAGCTGATATGTATTGTTTGGAGGATGTTGTATCCAAATAGTCACTTAGAGTTATTGCTCACAAGTAGTATGTCTTAAGAGCAAAGAAGTGAATGTGTTCCCAGTGAGTCCTGGTGTACATAGGTGCAGGTTTCTGGGCCATCAGTAAGATTTGATTCTACCACCGTTTGCCTTGGCAGAGCCACAGTGAAGTTGTGGCAAAGCTGATAGAGATGAGCTATTTCTGGGCCATCAGTAAGATTTGATTCTGCCACAGTGAAGTTGTGGCAAAGCTGATAGAGATGAGCTAGCCTGAGCTTTCAAAAGGGTTGTCCAGCAGAAGCTGCGATGTGGAAACAGAACTGAGAAGACCCTCAGACTGGTTCTCAAACACATTTTCTCCCATGTTTGGTTTGAAACTTAGTGCTGCTTGGTTCTTGCTTAACCCCTTGTACTTTCTTTAAGCCCCAGTTGGCTTGCTGGCTGTGTTACTAGCCAGCAGTAAAGCAAGGACTTGAAGGAACAGGCTTTACAGAGGTGGAAGGGCTCTGCTCACCTAGAGTAGAGGTGTAAAGAATGTTCGGCCTTGGTCACTGATATTTTATCTAATTTCCAAGTCTGGAAAAAGCACGGCACAGCCAATGTTTGCTGCGAAGGCTTAGCAGGGTAACCACGCTTCCTACCAGAGTTACCTACATGGCGAAGGCCTCAGTTCAGTAGCTTTGTACAGTGCTTTTAAGAAGTTCTGCAAGTATATGCTGTTTCTTCCTATAACCATAGCTGTGACTCCTGGCAGCAGCAAACAAGATGAGTAAACCCCTTCTCATCACTAAAGCTGGCTGAAGTTTGTAAGACTGTTTTGATGTTGAACATGTACAATTTTCTTGGCCTTTATAGGAAGCTGTGGGCGCTCCACATGGTGGAAGTTGATTTAAGTAACTTAAGAGAAAATGCTGCAGCTTTGGGCTCCGGAGCTTGGCACCTTGCTCAGTTTAGCTGCTTCCTCTCTTCTCTCAAACAACTCAGTAGCAGATCTGGGCAAGCATGTCCTATTTCCAATTTAGTTTTAATCTAAAACCCATTTTAAAGCAGCCATATTACTTCAACTGACAAGTGATCTGTGAGAGAATAATCTTATGAATGCTGTTGCCGGATTCTGAAAAATGGGGAAAAAAAGCATGGCTAGGGCTGTGCTGGTTGACATCAGCAAAGAGTCTGGCTTGGACAGCCGTGTGGGAGGAGGAATGTATCACCCTTTTCCACGCTTGTCAAGAAATCCCATAAGGACATGAATTCTAGCAGCGCAGGGAGGTCTTGGTTGAGATTAGACCTTGCTGGACAAGCCTGTTTGCAAAGAAATGCAGAAGAAATAAGCAGGCCAGACCCAGGGTGGGAGGAGATGATATGATGCAGCCAAATGCAGTTGTGTGTACACAGAGGCTGTGCCTCTGACAAGTGTCAGTCAGAGGTTGCCACAAGGTCTTCTGGGTCTCATCCAGTCCTAGATAAAGGTATCCCCAATATTGCGTGTGGCTTTGGAGACTATCAGTTCCATGTCAGAAGTGCTGATCAGGGTTACAGTGATGCCTTTCTCCAGGAAAGGACTGGATGATCTGTGATGTGAAATACTAAGGCTTTTTGGCTTACAGCCGTTTGTTCTTCCTTGCTATATTGGCTTAACCCTGAAAATGCATGTGAGGCTTGGAGTTATTCATTTAGGGAGGAAAAGGTTGAAATATTGTTCATTCCCACTGAGCTGGAGCGGGAGAGCGAGCTCAGGCCATGGGAGCGGCCTGACATTGAAGTCACCAAAGCCTCACTTAATCTGGCAATTGTCCCCTTTGCCATCTAACAGGGGGTCCCTACTGCTTGCTCCTGCCAGCCACCTCCCCTGTGCTGGCCCAAGCATTGATACAGTCTCCTGGAGAGTCACCTCAGGGAACTGATCGGGCTAAAATTGCGTATGTCCTAACCCCCAGCAAGGTTAGAGCCAGTGCGAGGAGGCAGGAACAAACATCGGGTCAAGAAGAAAGAGGAGACCGGGCAGATCTCTACTGGATTGAAGTGGCAGAGTAACTAGAGCAGTGTGCTCTAGATGCTGTATGATTACTTGTTAGCTGTGTGTGTCTTCACATGGTTTGATTTTTAGCTGGTGCAGCTGTTGTGGCATCTGCTGTCACTGTAGTTCCTGGCTGGCTCGGTGCCCTTGGAGGTGCAGGGGACTTTGGGGTGCAGTTGCACAGCAAGATCCCAGAGGAATGCAAGAGATGCACAGTGACAAATGAGCAGGGCAGGGTAATGATGCCATCTTTCATTGCAGGAGGCGAAGGCCAGTTCTGCTGAACAGAAGGCTTTTTTCCCCTGTTAAGTTCATGCTGGTTGGCAGGAAGGAGACTTGATACCTAAGACTTCATTTTTTCCCTTGGAAGTGTTAATATAAACATCAGCCTAAAGTGGCTAGTTGAGACGTGCTGGGTTTGGGGACAACCAGGCCATTGACGTATAAATGCTACTGTGTGAATGACACAGTGAGGCTTTTCAAATCCCTCTTATTTTTATGCTGATTTTGAAGTGATTTTTAATCCTTCAGACATATTGGTCTCTAAGCACTTTTTTCAAAGAGGAAAATAACCCATCTCAAGCAGTTTGGGTAATAATGGTACTTAGTGCTTAATGAACGTTGTGGAATTAATCCTCCTGGGCCAATAAATTTAAATGAAATTGTGTTGATCTTGGCTAGGGAGTGGGGAATTGATGTGAAACCAGCTTTCTTCTAGGCATGGAGGAGCGGCTCCCTTGCTGATGCGATTGCTGGGGCTTCACCACGGCCAGCAGAGGTGGAATTGGTGAACCTGTGAAGTTTGGGTTCAAGCTGAGCCCTGCATTTCAGTTCTCTTCCTCTGCCCTTGCAGCTGCACTGTGAATCACATGTTGTCTTCCAGGCTCGGTCAGATGTACTGAGGAGCAGCAGGAATAGGTCTCCTTGGTCCTGGGGAAGAGTCTGGTCTAGGGGGGTGGCTTAGGGCCAGGAAGATGCTTCTGGTTCCGTGTCCTGCTGCCTCCCATGTGCTGTCCCTTGGGGTCAGCGAGGTGTCCTGCATTGCTGGGTTAGGCCTGTTAGTCTGTGTTGTGGTTTAACCCGGCAGGCAGCTAAACACCACACAGCCGTTCGCTCGCTGCGCCCCCAGTGGGAGGGGGGAGAGAATCGGGGGAGGGGGGGGAAGTAAAATTAATGGGTTGAGATAAAGACAGTTTAATAGGACAGAAAAGGAAGGGAAAATAATAATAATAAT